GGCAGCTCCTATTTATAACCACCCACTCTTATTCATATATATGTCTAACCTACGCTTGAAACCATCAAGGGATCTTACTTTATGCTATGCGGCAATTGGTTCTACAAATCAACAACCCTGTTACCGAACCAGTATTTACCCAGGTCTTTCCTAAATCTAAACTAAAACAATTTATACACATTGTTTCGTGTTGTCTTGTGTTGATACTTTGAATACCCTATTAATATCCCCTTTGTTATGTCCATTCAACCACTTGTTAACCTCTATCATGTCACCCCTAACTCTTCGCCTTTCTAGAGAATGTAATTTAAGATTTGTCAATCATTCTCATATGACAGATTTCTAATTTGGGGATTAACTTTGTCATTCTACGCTGGACACGTTCAAGTGAATTTATAGTCATTCTATAGTACGGCGACCTAAACAGAACTGCATAATCTAAATGGGGCCTAACCAGAGCAAGATATAGCTTAAGAACCACACCAGGTGTCTTGTTACTAACGCTTCGATTAATAAATCCCAGTGTCCTATTTGCCTTATTACGAACATGTATGCATTGATGCAGGCGATGAGTCACAATAACGTGGCTAAAGTATGTTGACCAGACCACACACTAGAAGGTGAAGGGACGACGACATTTCGGTCCGTCCTGGAATCGACTTGAGAATGGTCCAGGACGGACCGAAACGTCGTCGTCCCTTCAACTTCTAGTGTACTTACGTAATTGTGCTTGCGGGGGTTGAGCTTTGGCTCTTTGGTCCCGCCTCTCAACTGCCAATCAACTGGTGTACAGGTTCCTGAGCCTTACTGGCCTCTATCATACCTACATCTAAAACTGTGTATGGAGTCAGCCTCCATACAGCCTCCATAGCTCAGTCGATTAAGGCAGTGTCTGGGATGCTCCCAGACGCAGGTTCGAATCCTCGTCACGGCCCTTGTGGATTTGTTCAGCCTCCACCACATCACTGCCTAAAGCATTCCATTTATTAACTACTCTGACACTGAAAAAATTCTTTCTAACGTCTCTGTGGCTCATCTGGGTAAGTTACTAGTGTGTGGTCATTTTCTTGAGATGTTATCTTGAGATGATTTCTGGGCTTTAGTGTGTCCGCGGCCCGGTCCTCGACCAGGCCTCCACCCCCAGGAAGCAGCCCGTGACAGCTG